TTTCTTCATGATTACTCCCGTGACCGTTTTGGAAAGAATTTTGACTCCACTGTGATATTATGATACCACAGATCTTTATTACTATTTCGATACATTTCTTGTCATTCTTCCGTTACTTGTGTCTTCAGAATTCCAATAGTCTGACCTCTTTGCTGCTTCTGTGTAAGAGGTTCAATCATCTTGTATTTTCGTTTTTTATCTTTTTTGATTATCAAATCTCTGTCATCTTTTGCCAACATGTAAAGCGTTTACCCAAATATTCACATTTTTTTTTTTTTTTTTTTTTTGAGAATACAAGAATTTAATTCTCAGTGAAAATTTTATAAACAAATAAAATCCTTTTTTAAAAGAAAATTTGTTTATATTGAAATACATAGCCTTGTGATGACTAGTGCAATATTGAAAATTTTATACTCAAATATTGACTCAAGATTATTGAGTATTTATAGTTTCCGTAAACTTATAAAAAAAGACAATATTCCAGCTTCTCAGGAAACTTATGATTATGAATAACATTTTTATTTTAACTGGAAACAAGATACCACATTAATTTTGAATGGTAAAATTTTCAATAATATCTCGATGAGTTTAGCCCACTTTAAAATATAAGTCATGTAGATACCTAGACTTATAAACGATAAAATCCCAAATTCATAAAAATAAATTTCTCATTATTTGTTATACATCAACCTAAATGCAATAATCATTCTTTGGATTTACTGCAAGTTTTTAAAGCACTCACTCATTTTTTTCAATTTGCACTACCACGTAGACCATTTCTTTGTAAGTTTGATAATTATGCGGAGATTTAACTATTTTGAACAATTTGAGAAGGTTTCCTTAAAAATATCCTCAAGTTCCAAATTCAATTTAGTTAAACTTCTTTAAACCAAGTGAAATATTATATACTATAAAAAAATTAATTAAATAATTTCATGATGCATATTTTCTTGAAATTTAAGGAAAATTTATGTGGTATATGCTTTTTTGTTATAAAAGAATCCATTGAGGTGGAGACGACAGTTTTTTTTGGAATTGGTTCAGTTTGTATTAAAGAAATGTTTTGAGGACCCTGATTTTGTCCAAATTTTTGGGCTCAAATTTCTGTTAATGCACCTTTTTTGACTTGATTTAGTCTCTGCCGCCTTGAAAATTATCTTTTTAAGTTTTTAGTAACAAAAATTCTGAAAAAAAATTACATTTTCAAGTTACTTGACTTTGTCTAATATTTTAAATCCCAATGGTTAGCATTGCATAGCTTTGGTGCTTTTGAAAAAGAGTGATATCTACTGGTAAGGTTTCCTTAAAAAAGGATTTCTTTGTAGATGTATTCCACTTAATTCCTGCTTGATGCACAATGATAAAAAGAATTGTGGTGAGACTTTTCTTCTTTCGAGACCAAAGTTTTGGATAAAGATTTAAATCTTTATCTTTATCTTTATCTTTATCTTTAAAATTAAAATTAAAATTAAAAAAGAACTAAAATATGGGTGATATTTCCTGCCTATTTGAGACTTATCCTTACCGGTTCCTAGATATAAGAATTTCTTTTCAATTTTCATGACATTGTTGTTAGTGATGCTATAGTTTCATGTATATACATCAAATTTCATTCACCTCAAGTTTTTCCAGATTGTAGCAGTATAGTTACGTAACAATAAATAACTTTTGATATTATGTTCTTTTAGTTTTGTTTAGTTAATTTTATTAACTAGTAAAAATTGATTCCATTTGGTACTTATAACAGTTCCTCAATCTCTCAAATTAAAGAGCAAATCATGATGAAAAAGATTAATAATCTCTTTGTTGACATACCTCCCATCAAAAATGAAATAAACAAAAAGTGTTCTAGAAGAAAAAAAAATATAATTAAGCATCTCAATTATTAACTAACCCCTTGAGATGGTAGAATAAAGTGAAAACCGTTGGATTATTCTTCAGTAGATGCCCAAAACTATTCCACGCTAAGTCTACATAAAGAAATTTAATTTGGAAAAAAATTTTTCCATAATAAATTTTTTTATAAAACGTCCAGTTAATGTGCACTGGCAACAGGATTTATTTTCGGGCTTTTCGGGATTTAAAAATTTTTTTGTTAAATAAAGAGTTTATTGCGAATACAAAAAGTTATTAGGGGTAAAAAGCGATATCGCTAAATCTTTGATGCAGATAATATTTATACATAACCCTTGAATAATCAAACAAACAAACTTTAATTCTGTTTTATATTTGAATATTAATTGTCCTTTATTTTGGTACAAAAAATTCTTTTTATTTTTTATTTATTTTTTAATTTTTTTTTTGCTTCTGCCGGTGTTGCGGGTAGCTGCCAACCGCTTTTTTTACTCTTTCCGTGTTAATTTTCTGAAGAATTGTTGAGAGTTTGGTGAACTACACCTAATTTGGATGGTTCTTGTTCAGGCAACAAATGTAGAATATATATTACTGTATAAATAAAACAAAGTAATCTTACAGGTATTGACAAATAAAAAAAATCTTTTTCAAGACAATATAAAAGGGCAGAGAATGCTTACCATCTGTGCGATTTATTTGAAAAATACCCCTATTTGGGATTTTTTGGAAAAGAAGCATCAATATATTGTGCTGTTTTGGAGTGCTTGCGTTGGCTTACATAGGATCTACTTTGTCCTACACTTTCGAGTATACTAAATTCATCATTTCTCGAGTTTAAAAATGTAATTATGTATTCAAAGATATTGGTTGTATGCTACAGTCTCTCTTGTCGAGAACAACAAGTTTCAAGAGTAAAAAAAGTTTATAAGCGTTGGAAAACAAGTCCAGTTAAAAATTTAAATTTTTTTTTATGTTAAGTTAGTTAAAAAAAAAGCAATTGTGCTCGTCTTTACCAGAAAGGTGGAGCGGATTTTGTTTTTGGCCAGAACAAAGTAGGGGATATAATTTTATTTTCGACTCTAAAAAAAAGACCAAAGGCTGGTTGCACAGGTTCCGAGAGCTTTGATTCTCAAATCGGATGAACACTTGTGTCTAATATTTAATTATCCAGCTTTTAGGAGCGCTAGAAAGAGGTTAGTTGTGTAGTAGTTAGTATAAAAGAGTTAGAAGTAAGACCTGTTGGCATGATGATATGGATTCATGCCAACTCTTGCCTTTCAAAATCACAACAAAATATAATAATAATAATAATAATAGAACGTCTGTGCCAATTGATTGGAAAAGGCTCTAGGCCTTTCAAAAGGTCATCATGAACTTTTTGATGGTTTGATCGCTCAGTGAAGAGAGCGATGAAGAAAAACAAGAAGAAAAATACCGACAACACGGAGTCTCTTTATACTTAAGAGAAGAAAAGACTTTGGGCTAACACACTTTGATATTTCAGAAACTTTCATTAGACTTTTTAATTAGATTGAAGATGGAAAAAAAAAGGGTTCAAATAAATCAAATTGAACAAATTCTTGGAATGAGTAAATGAGAGACCCACAATATTAAAAAAATGATTACAATCAAAAACTTTAAAATTTTAAAGGAATTCCATTCATTCATTTTTCTTTTTTTTTTTCGATTTGATTTCATTTGATTTTTTTAAACAAGATTGGTAATCTGACGAGCGGCTTTGCTATAGATACCTAAGTTACAGTGTCACCAATTTATTTTTTGTATGCCAGTTGGTACCTGCAGAATAGAAAACTTGTCAATAGGGGGTGTCATAAAAATCACAAGTGGAAATATGTGAGTTGCCACTGTCATTAATGACATTGTGATTTAATAATATTCCTAAATCACCAATTTGAGGATTAAGTTTAGAAATGTATTGCAATCTAAGCTTTCACAATTTTTTCGATTTTGACGGAACTCGGCTTTTTTTTTTTTTTTTTCAAATGACAAACTATTTTTTTATAGTTGAAATAATCCAACATAAAAAAAATATTTTTAACCTTAGATTTTTTTTTTTGTATTGATAATAATGATTATATTTGCTGTTAGAAACCCAATCGGGAGAAGCAGCGTATTTTTCAAAGTTTATGGAGACCCATTCAGGTGCTTTTTCTACTCAGTTATCCCTTATTTCTCAGCCAAGGTTAACACGATCAGAAAATATCATTTGAACTAAAAAGCTTGATCGGAGATCTTGAATGTATTGGTGACACAGCAAAGGAGGCGTATATCGGTATATGATATTTTTATCTGCTTTTTTTTATGATAATATCGATACGAATCAAAAAGTCCCAGTGTTCTAGAAGCCTAATTTTATTATCTAGAAATAAAGAAACATTTTTTATATTAAAATTAAATGAAGGCATTTAGTTAAACAAAAGGAATAAGTTTTAAACAAGAAGAAAAACAAAAGAGACAAAGAAATTCCGTCTGTTAGGCGGGTCTTCTTTTGTTTTGCAATTAATGTGCGATTAAAATAAAAAGAAGTATCCAAAGAGAATTTTTTTTCTCAATTTAAAAAATAAAATATAATATTTTCAAGAGAAATAATATAATAATAATGTTCAAAAAAAACAAAAAAATCACAAATCCATTTTTAAAAATAATAAAGACATAGGATTTAAAGCGAAGTATTATTTCTGGATCGTATTATTTTTTTCGGGTCAGATTTAAGACTTATTCCTTTTTTTTTTTTACGTTGCTTCCAGATCCACGGAATCAAAGGGAGACTGTATATACCAAGCGTTTTTCTTTTTATTTAAACCCAAAGTCTCATTTGTGTTTAATTTTTCCACAATTATGTTAATTATAATAAAATTTGACATGGATGTTTACCATATATTAGCTTCGATTTAATTATTTATACTCTTCTTACGCCATTGTTTATGGCACGTCAAATAATTTGACTTAATTATCCCGGAACTTAATTGTAGCATTATTAATACCATTGTCATTGAGTTCCTGTGCAATTGCAACATTTCATTCTATCCGGAAAAAAAGAAAGTGTCCATCTTTTTTAATTTAGAAAAAAGAGGTAGGTAGGTAAGCATAGCTTTCCAAAAATCAATGATATTTTATTATAAAACTTAAACATTTCCCCTATTTTTGGAGCCTGGAGCAAACCGAGGTATAGGTCGAGATGACGCCTTGGCTTTGGTTACCTTGACCGGAGCTTGTTGCTGAGGAGCAAAAAAGAGAGTCTGTTGTTGACGACGTCCACTTTTATTACTGTTACTCTTTGGTGTATTTTTCCTCGATGCAGTCTTTGGTAACACTAATGGCGTAGTTTTGGTACTATTACTACTATGATTACTTTTTTTTGATTCAGTTGATGGTGATGATGATGATGATGATGATGATGATGATGATGATGATGATGATGATGATGATGAAGATGAAGATGACAATGGAACTGATTTTGCAGTTTTCGATTTGTGCCCCCCAGGCTTTCCTATCAAAACTTGGGACGCCTTTACAAATCCCGTTTTTGCTGGGATACCCAAACTACTACTGTTGCCTGCTGCTGTCTCTTGAAACCCCCCGCCATTTTTCTTTGAAAAAGTAACAAATCCAGGCATTGAACGCCCAACTTTTTCTGTTGCAGATTTTTTCAACTCTTCCTCGCGACCAAGAGCCCGAGCCATAACTTTAATAAAATGCAAATCTGGCTTGGGGAATTGTTTACACGGCTCGCCAATCCCGTCCCGTGAGGCTTCCACCAGCGTTCCGTAGTTTTTCCTCTTTTGGTAAATGCCATAATCTTCGCCAAATGATGTTGTTGCTGTTGTAGAATCTGAAAGTAAACAAAAGGCGCACGCGCGTGTCACGGAAACGTAAAGAAGTCGACACTCTTCGTCAAAGTTTTCAGATCTAATATCTGTTTCTGCAAGGCGTGGTAGAAAAACAATAGGCCATTCAAGACCTTTGGCACCATGAATGGTTGAGACAGTGACCCTGCCCAGGGTCTTCATCTCCTTATTGTCATCCTCCTCATCGGCACCTTCAGGAATGTAGTTCAGGGCCATCAGCTGTAAAAAAGCACCAAGGTAATCCGGGTATGAATCCGGCTTGCCATTGCCTTCCAGAAGTTCGGGATCAACGTCACCCTCCAGTGACAAAAGTCTTGCCCGTAATAAAAAAAGATTATGCTGACGTCCAGCAATAGTATCTGGATCCTCTTTATCGACTCCACCGCTGACTAACTCCAAAAGTTGATACTCTTCTGTTGTTATAAGCTCAAACACACGGTCAAGAGACTCCGGATAGGGAAGAGATGTAATAGTAGCGCGACAACGATCAATGAAGGCTAGTAGCATGGAAATATTTTCTCGTGCCGTGTGCGTGATGCGAATTTTGTTTTTTTTCAAAATATCTGAAATGGCTTTTGATGAAGATACAATAGCACGAAATTTGGCCATTAACGTGGGATACTCCGGAGTCTGCAAATCTCCAAGCTTTGTCAGTGTCGTATCACCAACTCCGGAACGGCACAACTTCAAAGTTTCAGAAAGGGCCAGCTCGTTACGGTCGTTATAAATAATGCATAGAAAATCAGTCACCGCTTTGATTTCGCGGCGGCTCCAAAACGAAGACGCACCGGTTAATTTGTAAGGAATGTTCAATTCTGTGAGTCCAAGTTCAATGACATCCATCAGCCGCCGAAATCGCAACAAAATTGAAAAATCTGAGTACCGAAACACGGGACTATTCTCAGCAACAAGCTGTTTAATATATGCTGCAATGGCACGCGCTTCTTCGTACGGGGACCGAAACGCAACTTCGACGGGTGCAGGTGGTAATAAGTTTTCAATGTCACCATCTTTAAAATCCTTGTGTGCACGGAGAGGGGCTCGATCTGCATCTATACGTGATCGATCCTGCTTAATGATGAGCTCCGACAGAGTAAGCACAGCTTTTGGAGAGCGGTAGTTTGTTGTCAGATAAACGCACCGAATTGGGTTATCTGGTTGTTGTTCCTCGCGCATGCGCATGAAGTTGCGGGGCTGCGCTGAACGAAACGAGTAAATGGACTGATCCGGGTCTCCTACAATGGTAGTAGGCTTTGCCAAAGCCTTAAGAAGAGCGTACTGGGTCGCATCTGTATCTTGATACTCATCAACAAGAACATGCCTGATATCTTTGGTGACTTCTGGATACTTGCGAAATAAATGTAATGCGCGGAGCAACAAGTCACCAAAATCAACAAGACCAGCCGTGTCAAGGCAAGATTGGTAATCAGTAAGAATAACACGCATAAGAGGACTTCGTACTGGTAGTGTGGTGCCTTCGGGAGGAATTCCAGTGCCATCAGCCCATTCTTCGATTGTCAAAGCAGAAGATTTGATGAGATCGATGGCTTCGCGTACTGTATGGGTGTTAACGAAGTGTGGGGTGTCCCTTCGTGATGGGGCCAAGAGCCCGTCCCGACAAACTTCATAGCCGAGGGTTTTTGCTAATGTGGTGATTGTTTTGTTGCGAAAAACGCGGCCAATCATGCATCTCTGTGAAGCATCGTCTGCGATTGCAAAGTTTTGCGGGAGCCCTGTTTTGTCGACATGTTTTTTCAAAAACTTGAGACAAAGTCCGTGAAAGGTTCCGCAACACACTGGTAAGGATGCTTGCTCATGTTGGACCGCCTGCTCACCAAGAAGAGCAGTAACACGTTCTGCAAGCTCACGCGCTGCCTGGTTGGTAAAAGTTACAAGCATGATTCCTCGAGGGTCTACGCCGCAGCGGCAAACGAGCCAGGCGGCGCGATGGCATAGTGTTTTTGTTTTGCCTGTGCCTGGGCCCGCCAGGATCTGAAGGGTGGCGTCAGCCGGTGCTGTGACTGCTTCTTTCTGCTCTGCATTTAATGAGGCCAACAGAGGGTCATTGTTTTCCAAAACACTTTGACTCAGGTTTCCGTTCTCCAAGTCTGCTTTATCCTCTTTAATTTCCTTTTTCAATGACATTTGAGCTTCAGAGGCCTTTAAGCTCAAATATGGTTTGTAGGTAAATTTATTGTTAGGTCACCTTCTATAAAAATTAATTAAACCAAAAAACAATTACCAGGGATTTTTACTTTTCCAAGTCTGAATTCAAAGAAATCAATAATCACAGGTTTTCCAAATGATTTTGGGTCAAATCTTTCTTTCTATCACCTTTAGTTTATTTTTTCTTGAGGTATTATTGTCTTTTGTTATTCTTTCGTTTTTTGCACTTTTTGCACTTTTTGCACTTTTTGCACTTTTTTCTCATTTTAATTTCAAAATTTAAAGTAACTTTGGAATAATTAAAAAGATATTGAGAACTAAATATAGTGGATATCATTGATATTTATCAATGAGATAAAGTATTAAAACTTCACTTCATGGCACAAACTTCAATTTAATTCTTTAAATCTATGTATAGACTTAATTGCTACTCCGTTATTTTGTGCGCATTGAATGGTTTAAAGATAATGTAAAAATGCTCAAACAGGATCTCTTAAGTTACATCAACCTTTTACTTTCTACTCTAGTAACTTCTACTGGATCAACTCTTTTAGGTTTTTAAAACTGTTTAATAATTTGTTTTTGAAATCGCCATGACATTCAAATCTGAAAAAAAAACGCCCATTTTATATATATTTTATTACAAAGGGGAAAAAAACACCAAACATTTAAAGACGCTTATTCGTCATATAGATAATTGTCGTTGTCAATGTCATAAGTGAGCCACGGGTGAGAAAGAGCATCACGAGCAGTAATGCGCTTAGCCGGGTCATAAGTAAAGATCTGAGCCAGCAGGTCCTTAAGCAAATGCCAATAACGCTCATCTGCAGTTTGCATAGTAGGCATGGCCTTGCGTCTGAGAATAGTAGCAAGGGTGCGAGTCTCATTCACAACTTTTATGCTATTTTTCTCTGTAGTTTGATTCGGGAAATTAATACGACCCGTCTTGGGGTTAATGAGCACGACGCCGGTTTGATTGCGCGACGCCAGCGATAGCAAAGACCTGTCGATACTCCTCCCCAGAATTTTCTCCATGAGAGCCAGATGTTCGCAGTTTTCGTGGGTTTGGAAGAGTGCTTCGCCAGTACACAGCTCAACAATGATGCAGCCAATAGACCACACGTCACAAGGGAAGGACCAGCCAACCCCGAGAATGATTTCTGGTGCGCGGTAGTGCCGCGTGGAAACGATATTGTTATGGTACTCATCGTTGAATATGGCAGAGCCAAAGTCAATGAGCGAAATGGCAGTATCCTTTAGGGTGAGGTACTTTTCATTTTGTGGGGCGGTCTTGGGATGGGTACGAGGTACATTGTCTGAGGACTTTAGCAGAATATTTTCTGGCTTGAGGTCCGTGTGGACAAGACCCAGATCGTGTAAAAATGCGACCGAGGTGAGAATTTGCCTTGCAAAAGATTGAACGTGGCTTGGAGGAAAAGACCAAAAGTGATTAAGTTTCATAAAGTCATAAATGCTCAGAGACAGCAAGTCCGTGAGGATGCAGACATGACCATTATAGGAAAAAGCCTCACGAACGTGTATACAGCGGTTGCGGTTGTTAGAGTCGTAGCGAACAATGGTAGAAAGAACTCGGAGCTCTATTTTTGAAGCATCACGATACTTTGGAATGGCTCGAATGATTTTAAGGGCACAATGCCGGCGGTTTTTAGTGTCATAAGCCGCAAAGACCTTGCCAAAGGTACCTTGTCCAAGGACTTTGGATAAATGGAAGCGGCCATTGACGATGGAGGTGGGACACGCCGCATTGAAGTAGCCGTCCTTGTCTTGGGTACAAGCTGAGGAACCACGAGGAGAGTCGTTGAACTCTGGAATATGTATATCATTGTACTTGATGACTGGCTGTGAAGGAGGATAATACTTAATTTCTGAGATGAGGCGCTGACGCTTGCGGTTTGCTCGGGATTTTTCCGGGTTAATACTGGAGGATGGGGAGGTGGCAGAGGCAGCTGCCGGAGGCGTTGGCGACAGCCTGCTGCGCTTACGCTTATGCGATGTGGAGGAGGAGGAGGAGGAGTAGGAAGTGCTTGTTGTGGGTATAGGGTGGTCCAGAGCGGAATAAGATGTGTAGGAAGAAGTGGAAGAAGAGGAGCATGCTGATGAGGTAGAGCCATATGATGCCGACGATATACTTGTAGAGGAAAGAGAGGGATATGTCGATGGATGAGAGCCAGTGCAGATGACTTCATCGTCATCATCATCATTATTATCATCATCGGCAGGAACATCGACATTAAATGAACCAGAAGAGCCAGAAGGCCTACCTTTTATGTTCTGTTTATCTTCGTCTTCGTCTTCGTCCTCGTCGTCAGAAATGACAATGATTTCAATTGGCTTACCACTTCTGTCCAGCCCTGTCCAGGACATGGGAGGTTGAATTCGTGGAGTGGAAGTATTTGAAGAAATTGAGGCTGAAGAAGACTGGTGAAGATGACGATGGTGATGATTATTATGGCTGCTACTACTACTACTGCTACTGCTGTGATGGTGACTATGGTGATGAGTGTGATGAATGTGATGATGGTCAGCTACAGGCGTAGATGTTGAAACTGAAGAAGAGGCCATGGGAGGCAGTACAGATCCTTGTTGTTTTTGAAGCTGTTGTTGGTCTTCTTGATGGAGCTGCTGAGCACCGACCGCAACAGCAGAAGACCGTGCTATAGCCATGTTGGCCAAGTCAGTTTGGGTCTTCTGTCGAGGGCCCTTTGCAAGAGCCATTGCAGAGAGAGTGGCCATGGTGGTTGCCATAGAGACTTTTTTTTTTGATGGAGGCAGACAGAGAGAGGTGGGGGACTGTATGTGGAGATGATAATGGAGGTTCTAGAGGTTTAGATTAAAGATTTCAATTGGAAATAGACTGAATGACAGAAAGAAAAGGTCTTGAGATCAACAGGATTGCGTGATAAAAAGAAGCTAAGATAATTATTTAAAATATTTTTTTAAAAAAAAAAAAAAAAAAAAAAAAAGCAAAGAGCTTCTTTCTTTTTTAATTTTTTTTTTTGCTGGTCTGTTTGGAGTTTAGGCAGCAATAAACTTAAAAGATTATTACTGTATTACTGGGCGCACACTGATTAGACGAGGGATTGTAAAGTAAAGCCTTGATAATTTTAAAAACTGCGCAGCTCACACTGCTAGTCTTTTAGTTTTCTTTTTTAATGAAAAAAAAAAAACTTTTGTTTGTTTTGATTGCTGGTAAGAATGGTATTAAAGAAGTGGAGAAAGTGGTGGTGATGATTGCGATTAACAGGTTCCTAAAGGGCTTTTGAGATGGTGGTAGTGGTAAATTTGTGCTTGTTACATTTTTGTTACAACTATATTTTAATCACCACCACCACCACTACCACATTCTCCTCTTCCACAACCAACGTGCTAAAAATAAAAATAAAAATAAAAATAGAACCATCGCCTCAGTGCGGGACCTGTGGGTTAGGGTAAACACTATAAAAGGCTGTGGGTTAGGGTAATATTAAATAGATTAATCATTTATTCAGTGTATCTCAGCATGATATGAACATCTCTGCACAATACCAGCTCACAATCAAACGGAACATCAATAATCGGAGCATCCGGGATTCAAAACTTTCAAAAAAAAAAAAAAAAATAGAATAGAAAATAGAATAGAAAATAGAATAGAAAATAGAATAAAAAATCATTTACACTATCTTCACTATCTTTACTATCAAATCATTATTAATACTCATATCGAAGTTCAATTATTGGTTGGAAGGCTTTCAATTCTGTTCCAGCTCATTCCATCATTTACTGCCCATATACACGTGATCAAACCACCCAGTCTAAAATAAAAACAAAAAAAAAATCTACTAAGATATCCCGCAAAAAGGCTTTTATCCCCTTTCACAGCCCCTTCCATAAATCACCCTACTTCTCATCCTCAATTTCTATCATCATCATCATCATCATCATCATCATCATCATCATCATCATCATCATCATCATTCATTCATTCATTCATTCATTCTTAGAATGTACACTCTCGAAACCTCTTCGCATATTCTTCAGCTATTCCCGGTTCCAAATGAACCTTACTATGCGCTGGTAGATCGGGCTAAGCCTATAGATTACTCAATTGTACCTCTGGCCGCCAACACAGTGCTGGCCGTACAGCCCACATCAACAACTACAACCACCTCAGGTGCATCTATCGACGACCCAGATATTCAGCTTGTCCTCGACGGATTGCCAATTGGTGATGTTCCCGCTACATCTCCGGCAACATTGGCCGATTTCATGCTTTATTGGAAAGAGGCGCTCTCGTCTCTTGCTGTAAACTCTTCAAAAACTGGTGTCATTCCACAGACACAAGCCACCCCAGAATCTTCACAATCATCACAACCTACACAACCCTCCGAAGTTATGAAAACATCACTTATCCGGAACATTGAGCCATTCAAGACATCTTTTCTTGAAGATCGGAAGCTCAAGATCCGAGCAATTTCATGGAACATACATGCAGAGCCTCTTACAAAAGCAAACATCCACGCACTTCTCGGTCTTCCAGAACCCTTTGATCTCTACATTATAGCCATTCAAGAGTCCGACCAGCTTGGTCCTAAAAATCTTTATGCAAATCAAACTACGCTTGCTGCCACCCAGGACTACGTTGTTCAGACTCTTGGTGGCCCAAACAAGTACCAGATCGTCGCAGCAAACCAGCTTCTCGGTATTATGCTACTGGTCGTCGCTGCTGCGCCGCTTATCCCCCATCTGTCTGGATTTACTCAAAACACAACAGGCACAGGAATCTTTGGCATATGGGGTAACAAGGGCGCGGCCGTGGTTTCTTTCTACGTTGGCCAAGATCTTGCAGTAGGTTTGGAAGGAACGCATATCTCTATTCTCAATTGCCATTTGGCTCATGGCGAAGGAATCCAAGGCATTGAGCGTCGTCGTTGGGAGCTTTCTGAAATCCAAAAAAAACTCAATATCAATGGGCTCATTGGTAAGCGTGCGCCAATGTTGATTTTTTCCGGTTCAAATGATAAAGAAGAAAAGGAATCTGAGAAAAAAGAAACCAAAGAAGAACCTAAAGAAGAACCTAAAGAAGAATCTAAAGAAGAGCCTAAAGAAGAGTCTAAAACGGAACCTAAAGAAGAACTTGAGAAATCAAAAAATGAAGATGACGACGAAGATGACAGTATCATTGTAAAAGAAGATCAAGATAGCATTATTGCTAAAGACAACGACAGCATTTCCGACGAGGACCTCGAATCACTACCGCCTGTGCCTATTGCTGCACCATCAATTGACTCCTCTCCTGAACCTGAACCTGAACTTGAATCCACACCTTCAGTGACAATTGTGCTCGGTGATCTCAATTATCGAGTTGCTTTGGATCCTGCTGTTGTTCAGGATCTTGTTGAACAAGAGGACTACGATACCATTATTACTCACGACCGCCTTATTGTCGAGCACCAAAACAAGCGCCTTCTGCCTCGATTCTCTGAAGCTCCCATCAAGTTCCCACCCACTTACAAGTATGTGGTTGGCACGGATGACTTTGATGATACTAAACAGCCAGCTTCCGCTACTGCATCGGGTACCAAGCGAGCCCGAGCTCCATCCTACACAGACCGCATTTTCTTTACCAGCGAAAATACTTCAGAGCCATGTACGGCATCGAAATATGAATCGCTCATGGAGTACACCATGTCTGATCACAAACCAGTGGTGGCTAATTTAGACGTGGTGGTCAAGACAGTAGACCCTGAAAAACGTCGTGTTGCTGTTTCAAAAGTATTAAAGGAATCAGATGATCGCGAGAATTTGTCCAAGCCTACGGTCACGGTGACACCACGAGAAGTAGCTATCAATGATGCCTTGGTTTTACGCCCAGCTGAGGCTACAGTGGCTTTACGGTACCAGCCTAATGAGAAGGCTCCTAACAAGGTTCTCCACTGGCAAATTTCACTTGCACCAGATGCTCCAATTGATCCTTCAGCTCCAGAAAATGCCTTTGTTCCAAGCACAGTCTCGTCCACATCTGTATCAATTTGGCCTAAACAAGGCGTGCTTCCTCCGGGGGCAACGCAATACATCAAGTTTGGGTGCACGCTGCCCATTGCCAAGGGCACTTCAACGGTTTCGCGCGTTGCAGTGCTTAATATTATTGACACCCAGGACATTTTTGTACCCATTGAATTTTCAGCACTTCCCACTAGCTTGGGTACTTCGCTGGACGTTTTGTCACGACTTCCGAAGGGCGCACGCTCAGGAACAGCAACCATGTCGACAGACGATGCGGGTGCCAATATGCCCAAGGAGATTTGGAGCTGTGTGGATTATTTATGGCAGAATGTGGACCTTTTGTTTGCTGAGCCGCATAAGAAGCTCATGTGGGAAGATGCGCTTCAGAATGCCGAACCGTCGCTGCAACTGCAGGTGCAGGAATGGCTTGATCTTGGCGAGGATTTCGACACAGTAGTACTTACTGCTGCAAATGCAATTGTAAAGCCTGGAATGCCTTTAACAAGCAAGTCGAATCTAGGGCTGTACTCGGTGGCTGCACAGTTTTTGTTACTGCTTGAAAACCTGGATGGTGGTGTTGTGCCTGTCGAGTACTATTCGCTGGTGCTTAAGGGTCGAGAAGGTGCGTTGCAAGCTTTGGAGCGTGTACCGCGGGTAAATGTCAATGTGTTGCTTTATCTTGCTTCGTTTCTCAAGCTGTTGCTAGACAAGGAGCAGCAGGCCAACGATGCGCGTGCTCAGAAAAAGGCTGTCGTCAATGTTGCTGCTCCTATAGACTCTACTCCGACTGCTTCAAATGCCCCAGCTGAAGTGGCTGCAACACCAGTTGCTGGGGTACCAGTTTCAGTAACCCAAGAATCTAATAATGAACAGGGGAAACAGCAACAAGTACGACCAAAGTCTCGATCGATCAGCGAGCGATTTGCAAGTTCATTTGGTGGGTTTGGGCATAATGCACTTGATGCTGTAACGGCAGTTGGTACAGCAGTTGGCAACGGTGTTGTTGAGGCAGGCCATGGTGTTGTGGATGCAGGCAAGGGGGTTGGTACTGCTGTGACGAATGGGCTATCCAACTTGAAGATTCCACTTCCAAGCACAGCTGGGGCATCATCGTCATCTGGGGTTGATGATGTGAGTGAAGCTACAGCGGAGATTAAATTGGTGGATAATACAGACAAAGAGGAGCCAATTCGCGTGGATGCTGGACGTGCTCGGGCAATGCTTTCATTTTTTGAAGGATACGTGATTGCAAAGCCCATAGGATTTAAGGAAACTAAGGCGGCGAAGAATGCACGGGTAGACTTTTTGGCCGAGCTTGTTGGAGTTTAGTTGTTGAAGATGTGCATGTTTTATATTTATCAAAATAGTTTATAGTACTAATTAGTTCTATGAATATTATTAGCAAATGTATAAAAAAATAAATAAATAAATAAAAAAAGAAAGAAAACTTAAGATACAGTGGAATGCGTATATTCCAAAGGAAGGGAAGAAAAGAAAATAAAAATGTAGTTTTAGTGTTTTTGATACTAATGATGATGAAGGTTAGTTAGAAAAGCCGGATGAAGATGATGTGGTATTTTAGTAAGGGGGAGGTTTAATTAGACAAACATATCTGGAAGAATTAAATGGTTGAAAAAAAAAAAAAAAAATAAGAACAGAAAGAAAAAAAATAAAATAAAATAAAATAGTTGATTTTTCGTATTTTTTTTCTTTTTTTTTTTTTTTAAAAAAAAACGCCTTTTTCTTTCGTTATAATAAAATTCAAGAATTTAAATACTTTAAAAAAAAAAAAAAAAAAAAAGGAACCTTGTACAAATTATTAATTGAATTTTTTTTTTTCTTCATATTAAAAAAAAAAAAAAAAAAACTTTTCCCAATGACAAGGTTGACCTTCTTGTTCTTCGTTTAATCCAAAATTGGTAAAATGCAACCAGTATGACTTATACGAAAACGAAGTACCTTAAAACGATGTAATAAGTGGCTTATGCTTGAAAGAAAGTTGAATTCCTGTGGCTTCAACTGTTATTCTTTCAAAAAATTAATGGTCTGCTTTTAACTTGATAGAGAAAAATTGTCACTAAACATTGGCAAATGGTGTGGTATGTTATAACGTAAACATAATTTTGAAAAGAAACAAAAAAAAAAAAAAAAAAAATGGGCTCATGTGAATTCACAAGTAAATTTATGCGTATTTGTTAAAAGACCTCTCGATATGATACATTATTAATATACTACATAAAGCATCCCATCTCAAACTAAACCTTGAATTGGAAATATATATAAATATGCTACATTGGTTTTGCGGTAAGGGTGCACTGGATATATATATGCGATGGCCAGTTGCGTATAAAGCGATGAGGAATGGGTGATGTTTTTTTTTTATTTTTATTTTTTTTTTGTAGCAGGGATGAAAATCCCATGAAGGGTGACAGACAAAAGTGATGATGATATATACAAAATAGCCTGGTTAGAGCATATTATGAAGTTTAATCAATAGGCAAAACAAGCCTAACTAACGCATGAGTACATGGGCTACTAGACTCTACTCTAGTCAACTCAATGATGAGATGAGAAGATGGTTGTAGTCCATTGATGGTGATGGTGATGGTGGTGGTAAAACACAATTAATGCTGGGTTTTTAAATACCTGACCAGGAAACAATTAGCGTTTTTAATTGGAAATGGTGCGTAATTTTTAAACCAATTGTGATTAGAGAAAAAGAAGAAGAAAAAGACGAAGAAGAAGAAGAAGAAGAAGAAGAAAACATAAATGCACAGAACATGCAAAAAATAAAAATAAAAATAAAAATAAAAATTTTTTTTTCATTAAGCATATCTAATTCTTTTTAAAAAATAAAATCAATTGTCCTTTCTTTTTATCATTAAAACTTGTTTCTTTTTTTGTTTTTTTTCTTTTTTCATCCCTTGAAATTCAGAAATACTAGATAACTTGCGGATGCATTATATTCAAAGAAGACATTGTAACATAATGCCAACGTTCACGTTGAAAAAAAAAAAAAAAAAAAAAAAGACCGCAGAATTGTGAGTTTTATTTTTTTAAATATTTTGATTATCATAAAAATTTGTTCATTCAAGAATTATATTAAAGATTGGGAGGGAATGTTTTTTTTTTTTTTTTTTGTATTTTTTTTTATTAAAAAAAAAAAAAAAAGAAACATCATTTTCATCTCCTAAATTCAACTTTGTTTTTTTTGTAATTTTTTTTTTCCAATTTTTTCTCAACTTTTATTTTTTTTAGTCCCGGTTTCTTTATCTCTAAATTTTAGAGCCGTAGATATAACGGCTATTAGTGTGATCAACAAAAAATTCCAGAATCATGGACCTTTTTGTTCAAAATGTGCTATAAAATATCTTTGGCACTCCTTTTCAAAGAACTTTTTTTTTTTAATTCTTATTCTTGTTGCAATAAATACAATATATACTTATGTTGAAGAAAAAAAAAAAAAAGAAAAAAACTCTTGTGTATCTTGTTTACTAAAAGTCTTATTCCTCCCGTGTACGCAACAAATATTTGTTCCAATTGTCAAACAAACCAGCCTCAATTTGACAGTAAAAAATAATTGAGAACTTTACTAATTAATGACCACAAGTGTTTTCGCATGATAAAAGAAAACTCACCCGAACCACTGAAAAAAAAATAAATTATAATGATAATAATAATAATAATAATAATAATAATAATAATAATAATAATAATAATAATAATAATAATAATAATAATAATAATAATAATAATAATAATAATAATAATAATAATAATAATAATAATAATAATAATAATAATAATAATAATAATAATAATAATAATAATAATAATAATAATAATAATAAAATAATTATTAAATAAAGACAACTTGTATATTTTGTTTTTTTTCCCTATTTTCTTTTGATTGTTTAGGAGCGCGCACGGACGGATGTATTCGAGGCGCAAAGAACAAAACGATGAGATTTTGGTCTTGTATCATCGTATAATATTAATAATACATATAGTATAAAAATATCAAAAATAAAAGAGTACTTGTTATTTAATAATTCTCACAATGTAACATTGTTGTGAAATATTTTTTTCGTATATATATATATATTTTTTTTGTTCTTCTTTTGGGATTCAAATTATAAAAGAAAAAATTTTGAAATTTGAATTAAAAAATTTTCTTCTCTTCAATTTTTTGTGAATGAGATATAATCAATATCAACAACAACGTATTAGATTTAACAACTGCAAGACCCGGATCCAGATAGGTGGAAAAAATGTGATATATATTTAGATTGCAAGTAGCAATTGGTAATCCGTGGCATTTAATAATTGTTAACAACAGTAGCAATAGCAGAAATAACTACTATATACAATAAAAATAATCCACTCAAGAACAAAAAAAATAATAAGACCCTCTCTTCTTTTTTTTTTTATTTTTTTCATTATTTTTTTTTATTTTTTTTTTATTTTTTTTTTATTTTATTTTATTTTATTTTTTTTTGCTTTCGGTGGGTCTTCTTGATTTTTTTAATGGCGGATCGCAATCACGAGGAGTTGTAATATCGTGAGTATTTGAGAAAAAAAAAAAAAAAAAAAAAGCTGTTTCCTCCAAAATAAAAGTATAATCTCAGTGGATCCTAAAGAGAAAAAGCTGGAGAAGCGAATAATTCGATTTATTAGACTCTCTTTCAACACAAAAGAGATAACAAAAACATTCATTTTATGGATTATGGACTAATTGATAAACTGACTGTTTATTTTTGTCTACATCATGATCAGAAATAGATAGTGCAATATTATCACTTCACACAAGAAAAAAATGTTGTCATAGACTTGTATTTTTTTAGGGGGTAGTAACTACAAATTTATTAGGCCTAATAAATTTGAGGAACCCTAGGGTTCCTAAATTGAATAGTCATCAGTCATGTGGAAATACCGATGATGATGATGATGATGATGATGATGATGATGTTAATGATGATAACTAACCAGTTTAGTTGTTTGATTTAAATTAATAGTGCAGCTTTTTTTTTTCTTTTTTTTTTTTAAATCTCACTAGTATATATATTTTTTAAAAATAATACTTCTTTTTAGAAAGAAATAATTTACAAATAATAAAAAAAACTTCTTCATCTCCTTGGTTTCAAACCTTATATAAAATTTTTTTTAATAATAATAAAATAAAAGAATATTTAGAAGACATATGAAAAAAATATGGCTAAACTTTGATCGTCATAATATCAATACTTATACTTTATAAAAAAAATTACACAACCCCTATCAGCTTCTGCTTTTACCAAGTCTAAATATTATGACTGACGCCTGTCTTTGGAATATTGCCATTCTTACAGGCTGCATTTTGTATGCTGCTTTCTAAATACTTTTTTTTTTTTTTTTAATTTCACCCTTACCTAGGCCATTTCTGCATTGTGCATTGAGAAGAAGAGAAAAAAAGTCCACTTTTTCTTCAAATGGTCACTTCGTTTTTGCTTTCTTTTTTCAAAAAAAAAATAAAGACAATGAATATGAAGATGGACCGAATGTGGACCGGGTAGTCTACACGTGGCACCGAAAAGACTTTGCGTATATGAGCATTCAAACAGAAAAGAAGTAATAAATAAAACCAGTTAAATGCAAGAAAGAAGAAATTTTTGGAAATGCTCTTATTAAAAAAAAAAAGTATATATGCTTGTTTGTTAGCTAATATGCTTATTCAAAAACAGAATATGCTTTTTTAACCTATTTGAGGTGATTGTGATTTAAGAAAACAAAAAAAGAAAAAAAAAACGCATCTTGGTTTGGAAATAATTATTAAAAGGGATATTTCCTTTTGTTTAATAAAAGAAACACCTTTTTTTTTAAAAAAAAATTATATATATTTTCCTTTTTTACCAAGACCTAATTATAAAAAATATCACGGATATTATGGGTCTTAACTTGACTAAAATCCTTTAACTTTTGAGTCGCTTCAAGTCATTAAGGCGGGAAGCATATTTTCTTCTTCAACTTTTGACCTGAATTTTTATTTTCTTTCCTGTAAAGGTTAACAAATTTTGTCTTTTTTTTTTTAAAAAAAAACGACCTCTCCTCATATTTTAATGGAATATTCCGATTTCTCAACAAGGCTATTGAAAGCAGTAAACAAGCAAATATGCAAATAATGAAGCAATTTTTTTTTCTTTTTTTTTTCTTTCTTTGAATCCAAAACTTGCTATCTGCTTCTTCTTGGGTTTTTTTTATGTTAATGTCTGTATATATATACGCATGTGTCCTTAAAAAATTAACATCAAACATAAACTTGGATCAATCATTGCACATGCTTTTTAGCTCCCCTTGAAGAAGAAGAAGAAAACAAAACAAAAAGGAAAAAAAAAATTGGTGGATAAGATGGTACCAAATTTGACAATTTAGACATGGGTTAATTATTAATATATATATTTCAAAAAGAAAGGAAAAAAAAACAATCTCGGGTTTTTATGCGAGACTTCAAAATTCAAATGGTTCTAGACTTATATAACTAACTACATTAAAGAAATAAACGCACTCTTCTTGTTCCTTCACTCTCCTTTACAAAAGTGTGCACCTCATCGCCCCTCCTCCCCTCGTTACAATTTTTTTTTCTTGATAATAAAAAATAATGAAAAAGACGGGCAATTGGCAAATATTATAGTTGTATTCATGATGTTTTTTAAAAAAAAAGGCTAAAATAATAATATTGAAGAACGATAGTAAAAGAAATAAAATCAAGTCTAGACATATATAGATCTATATTAACATACTTGAGAAATGAAATAAAAAGGAAAAAAAGAAGTCAAGACATTATTGACACATTCTGTTTTTCCTTTCTTTACTTACAATTTTCAAATGTACTTGAAGATATTGTAAATGCCAAGTATTTTGAAAATTATGAGCGTTCTTCTTTGGTTTTTTTTTTTTTTTTTTCCTTCATCAATAGATTTCAAACCAATTTCAACATTACCAAGAATTACAAATTACAAATTACAAATTTAATTAAAAAGATTAAAACGACAAGAACTTATAAAACCCGGACATATATATTTATGCCGATATATAAACGATCAATCATATAAAAAAACCCCTTCAAATCTTTAATTTTTTTTTTTTCATTTTTAATAATCTCTTCACTTTAGTATCGTACTCTCTCGTTTTAATTATTATTATTATTTTATTTAATTTTATTTATAAATTTTTCATATCCCGGTAAACACCCATTGTTGAATTTCTCCGGGCATCATCTTTTCATGAAAAATATTTATAAATCTAGCAGTGTCTCATTTTAGGGTTTTTATTTAAAGGTATAAATAATTCAAAAAAAAATTTTTTTCTTTAAAATTATGACATACAATTAATCTATTCTACAAGAGTGTCGATTCAATCTTGAAAACAAAATGAAGTGCTCTTTTGGGATAAACGTTTTCGTCAAATCCATAAATATCTATTTGCCCTGCTCCACCAGTCCGGCATTAATATATCTTGGTGATGTTAAATCTCATATATTTAATTTTTTTTCCAAGTTTTATAATTATAATTATATAACACAAAAAATATGTATACTTGTATATAAATATATAAAAGTTGTCATGGCAAACCTGACGGTTTTAGAAACAGAATACATATTATTTAATGAAAGCAAGCAAGAAAAAAGCAAGCAAGCAATCAAAGAATAATAATAAAAGAAATTAAATCGAATAGAAGCTAGAGAAACAGAAGAAAAAGAAGAAAAAGAAGAAAAAGAAGAAGAATTTTTTTTTCACTTTTCCAGAAAACGTACATCTATGCTTCTAGAATTGATTTTTTATGACTTACTTAGATACGCATATACTTTAATGGTTAAAAAGGAGAAAAATAACGGGTTTCCATCTTCTCCATAGTCTTGGGGATAAAAATAAATTAATGAACAAAAGTTTCAGTCTTCTTTTCTTTAAACTCTTTTTTTACTTGTTTTTTATTTTATTTTTTTTTATTCAGACTTGCCTTCATTATTCATTTCTATATATTCATCTATAGTTACAAGATGATTCCTTTTCCCCTAAAGTAAAATAAAATCTTTCCGTCTTGTTGGGATATTGTTTATAAAACATCTAAAAGTCACTTTATTTTTTTTATTTTATTAATTTTATTAAAAAGATCCTTGATCTGTTTTCAAATAAAATCTTCATGAAGATTTAACATGATCATGTTTAAGGGGGGAATAGATTAGGTTGGATGGGTCATTCAGTATTTTTACATGCTTAAATTTTTTTATTTTTAAGAAAAAATATAATCCTCCATTTAAAGTGCAAAAGTCACGTGGACATGATGTAAAAAAATTTTTCAAAAAATTGTTGTTAAAGTACAAAAAAAAAAAAAAATAAAGGTCTGCAAAAATATTTTTCGTCATTCTTTTGATTCTTTCTCAAAAAACTTTAAGTTAAGAAACAAATAAAATTCTTCTCCTTTTTTCAATCTCTTATTTTAGCTAGCGGCTTATCCACGCCCTCAACATCAAAAAAAAACCCTCTTCAAAGGGGAGTATCTGGGCGGATTACCATTTGTATCAGGAGTTTGATCATTTTTCTTCTTTTTCTTCTTTAAAATTGACGGGGTCGTCCTAACGTAGTACCACTACCGTTTGTTTCAATCTCCATCTCGCCTTCTAGTACAGCTGCTGAGTTATCACCAGCAAGCACAGCTGCCAAAGCAAGTGCTTGTTCTCTGGCACGTGCGTTTGCCTCTCTGCGGGCCTTAGCCTTACGCTGGGTCGATGACATTTCCTGCTGTTCGCCATCAATTTGCATTTCTCCAGAAAGCTCGGCGTGGATCGCAGCGGCCACAGCGGCCGCAGCCTTGTTCTGGTATCTTGCATTGCGATCACGCTTAATCTGCTTTTTCTTAGAAATAGTTTTGGAAGAAAGACCAGTTGCAACTGAAGTCGTAGTGCGAACAACAAGAGCAGTCGAAGATCCCTTGGACGAAGGCTTTACAGTTGCAGAAAGCTGAGAAGCACGAGCAGCTTGGGCACGACGGCGTTGCACCTTACGTGCAAAGCTCTTGGCCTTGTGAGCATTCTGCTTCAAGTGAGTAGCTTTATTAATAAGATCAGGCATGATGAAATATTGTTTCTAACGAGAATGGAGAGTTTAATACTTTCTTAGTATGGTGGTGGTTGGTGCGGTTCAAGAAAGAGTGGTGGGAAAAAAAAAAAAAAATTTTTTTGGTTTGAAAAATTCCCTTTTTTTTTTTTTTTTTTTGCATTTCTAAACGTAGAAAAATTTTAAACTAAAATTTTTTTCAGGAAAGCGCCGCACAAACATTCTTGATTAAGCAAAAATCTTAAAAATTGAAATAAAACATTGAAAAATGCAATGGATCTGGATTAAAAGTTTATAAGAAATCTGATTTTAATATTTTCAATAGGCCGTTTCTTTCAATTTTCAATGGTTTTTGGCATAGTTGGTTTATATAGCATAGTGTGACTAATGAATTATATAATCATGATGATTGACTTTTTAACAAGCCTCCCGTTGTGGCCTTTAAAAATCCTCCTTCATCACGAAAAGAACTCTTAATTTCAACCTTCAATTCTTTTTTTCTTTTCAAAAAAAAAAAGAAAAAAAATCTTTTAAATAGCATTGCTTTGCAAAAATGAGCCAAAAAACTTCAATTCATAGAAGGTTGCCTATATACCACAAGTACTCGTCTTACAGCCTTCGGGGCCGCTTGTTACAAACGCCTGCATCCCCAGAATACCTCACAGAAATGTTTCAAGACTTGTCGGTTGATACCAAGCAGGAACCTGCAGTTATTAAAAACATCCCAATTCCTTATACCCCAGAGTCATTGATACAATCATCTTCTTTATCGATTTCATCAACCGCCTCTCCATCTAAAAGACATCAGCTGGTTGCGCGCCTAAAAGAGCGATTATCAGGTACTTTCTTCCGGCCAGCCGTACGTTATGAATACCCTAGCGAGAAGAACAATTTGCAGCCTAATGGCAGCACTGTTACCATCAATAGAAACAGCAGTAGTAACAACAACAATACCATTGGGGGCCCCAGATTCAGAAATACCAATGCTCCTACAATCATTCCAGATGATTTAGCACGTAAACTTCAACAGTCGTTTCCTTACAGGGGGAAAAAAGATTTGCGGGGGATTGACGATGAGGAAGAAGAAGAGAATGGGCAACAACAGCTGTCGCAACAGAGTATGCAACAACAGCAGCCGTTCTATTATACTGACAATCCAACACATACGTCATATGTTGCAAACCGGGGCTCTGCGCGACGTGCATTTTCACTTGTTCGACCAGGTGCTAAAATGGGCGAAAGTGGTGGAAACAATAGCAGCACGCATGTAGACGAGAGCGACTGTGGAGAAGCAAATCAAAAAAAAAGAGGATCATATTATTATTACCACGACTATAATGATGGTAGCGAGGCGCCCTATGAAGCAGACAGTTCAATATCACACTCGTCGCTGGGCTCTGGATGTTTGTCTGAGTACAACCAGTTGGTTGGTAACCAGGGCGTTGGTAAAAAAGGTGATTTTGTTAGAGGCAGTAGCAGCAGCAGCAACAGCAGCAGCAGCAACATCAGCAGCAACATTAGTAGCAGCAGAAGTAGTATTAACAGCGGCATTAGCAGCATAAGTAGCAGCATCAACGGAAATATTCATACAAGAGGGCGGCTAACCCGACTACATCGACTACGGTCTTTGTCACAGGCGGCGGAAGAAACCGCTGCTTCATGGCGGCCAAGATTGGGGATGGAAAAAAAAAATGACATCCAAGTAACTGCCCACAATGATTCAAGCAACGTCGTAGACTGGTGTGTGAAGATGACACCACAAGAATATTACTACCCGACGGTGGATACGGCCACGCGTAACTTGTTTTTTAACGGGAAACGTGGTGGGCAAGAAGGTACCAGGGGGTCCAGGGACCAACCTTGTTTAGTGGGCGCCGGAAAAGAAGATAGAGAAGGCGTGCGGGCCTTGTTTCGGACGAGCACAAACTATATGCGGCGGATGGGAAGCTTACGGCGGTTAGGGGAACAAACAATAGAGTATCCCAGAGACCGTGACCCAGGGTACAATGATGGATATTATGAAAATGATCAAGTGGAGATTTATCAAGACCCACAGCCCATATCTGCTAGCACTATTGTATATGATGGGGAAATTGGAGCAAGCGGACTGTTGTCGCGTAATGGCAGTAGGTATACGGCGCGGTCTGCGCGATCAGTATATTCCAATACCACGGTGTCGTCATCCAAGTCTTCAGCAGGTGGTGGAGGAGCATTATCCCAACGGACTGTACTACGGTCGCGCGTGAATGGGAACAGTGAGCGTGAATTGGAGCGGTTACAGGAGCAAGATCGGCGCAAGGGGGACAGTGGTGGTAGTAGTAGTAATGGCGTAGACAAAACTACAGGTTCTACCAATACTCGAAGCATTGTTGGGAGTAAGCGTCGGGCTGAGTCAGTCCGTGCACGACGACGGAAACGGCGGATGGGTGCCAAAACTGACGACAGTAATGGTGATGACAACCATGACTTGGACAAGTCACTAGCCAAAACAAACGCACAATCGTTCTCGTGCTCACCAGGAACTACTCAATTTATTTTCAATGACATGCAAGATGTGTACAGTTTAATGATGGCTGAAGACAGTGTATTATTTGATTGAGAAAGAAGCAGGTATTGAAATAGTGTTTAGTAAAAAAAAAAAAAAAAAAAAAAGAAAAGCTCAAGTTTTCATTGTTGTTTATTTGTATGGCAAATCTTTGCTGGGTTGTTTGGCTGTGTTGGCAGCAGCCGTGGCCTCAGCCGTATTGAGGTTTGCAAGTTTTTCCTTTTCTGCAGCTCCTAGTTTTTCCGGTGACAGGTTTTAACTGCTGGCAACGAAGGCGTAACAATGACGGCGATTCGGAGGCTTTGATAAGGCTTATTGGATGTTAGAAATTAGACTTTTGAGTGAATAAGTTATGTAGTTTGATTTTATGGAATTACAGATGCTATAATGAATGAATAGATGAAGGGTTGATGATTTCCTATTTCAACATCGGCTGTCAATTAAATTAGCTCATGACTGGCTAGCTTAAAAACGTTGAGTTTGTAGGTAAGGACTTGTCGTAGACAAATTCAAAGGCAAAGTAAAAATTTTTAAAAAAAAGAAACTAAACAATTCAAGTTTATCTTTCAAAGATAGTAACCAAGAATAGTGAATTAATTAATGTAGAAGAAAAGTCTATGGTTTTATATTATTCAAATTTCTAAATCACGCCTGACCAATCTTATCAAACAGACTCCAATCTTCAGAAGGAGCAGCAGCAGGAGTTTTTTCAGATGTATTTTCAGGTACATCATTAGCAGGCTGGGTCGTAATAAAGTTGACGACTGAAGCCACCATGGGCTTTGAATTAGGAACAAAATGGCCACCCGGGTGAGTTAGCAGCGTACGGGATTCCGGAGAACAAGCATTATACAGAGCCATTGATCGTTCTTCTGAAACTACTGTGTCGAGAGCACCAAGAATATGCAGTGACGGGGTGCTAATTGGTGGCGTGTAAAAATGTTGCAAAGCATCGGGCTTGACACGGAACCCAGAGTAAAAAATGCCAAACTTAAGAGGAATATTTTTTTGCTTGTACTCTTCAGATCCGGCCTGTTCGGGCACAAGCTCGTGCAACTTGTGGATGACTGTACAAAGAATACCGGCAAACCCTGCGCCTTGCGAGAATCCAAGTACACCATCGTAGGGACCATTTTCTTGAACAGATTGCTTAACACAAGCAAAAGCCTGGTCAAGAGTATAGTAGTCGTCTTTTTGCTCGTTGGCAGGCCACCAAGAACGGAACGCGTCGACGGCGGCATCATTACCTGATTCGCCTCCGAGGGTAGTTGGCTCAAAGGGCAAATCTGCGGTATCAATTTTGACAGGAGCTGTCAAGTAAACAGTTTCATAGCCGGCTTTGGCGAGAGCCTTACGCAGAGCGCTGGACTTTTTGGCGAAAACAGAGCCGTTTTGGACAAAGCCGTGGAGACACAAGATTTTGGGCATGGTTTTAGGATGAGTTAGGTTGAGATTTATTTTTTATTTTTTATTTTTGTTTTGGGTAGTGTAGTAAGAAAGAAAAAAAAAATGGTGGTGGTGGTAGTGGTGATTGCAAATAGTAGGCTTTTTATTGACTGCCGCACGCACAAAAAATTTTTTTTTTATTTTTCACTACACACACACACACACATTTCAACAACTACAACTGACATTAAAGATGCTCTCGACTATAGCCAAGCGAGGCATTTGTTTTACGCAACCGGCGCGTCGTGGATTCCACGGTACAGGGCTGATTTATTCTTCTGAAGATTCTGTAGGTCGTGCAACTAGACTTCATTATGCGCATCGTCGAGTACCCGAGACTTTTGGGAAGCTTGTTGAGCCTGAGCAACAACAACAACAGGAAGACTCTTCCTTGGACATATTGGCTGAGCCTGCTGCAGCATCCGAAAAAGTGCGAGTAGTTCCTCTTGAGGCGTTTCAAACGGAGCGCTTTGTAGAGCGTGAGAAGCCTGGATCAAAGGTTCTTGGTGACCGATCGGCCGGTGCTAAATCTAGGTTTGATCCACGCACTTTGGCCGGCCACGCACACCAGGGTACCACACTGCGAGTGCCGATGCGCATGGCCACCACCATCAACGATTCGCTGTTACGCCACAGCGGTCATAACCCTCAGAAAGTGCGTGAGAGAGCTGCTCAATATTACGTCGAGCTCAACACTGGGTCTCGATTCAAGCCTGGCATCACCAACAAGGAAACACCTCGGCGAACCAAGGAGACCACATCTGGAGGGTTTCATCGACCTACGGATGACCCTCTGGATGTGGATGCACACATGGCAGGTGTATTTTTACAAAATTATGCCAGCATTTTTGCAGCTGTTTCAGAGACGAAGCGACGGATGGATGCAAATCTGGAGCGGTTACGCAAGGCCGGACACAAAAACGTGCCCAAGGAATGGCGGCCAGAACGTGTTTTGGATATTGGGTTTGGACCAGCAACCGGAATGGCTGTAATTAACGAGGTGTTTTCACGGGACCCAGGGTTTGGACCTAGCCGCAAAACGGCTGTTATTATTGGTCACCCGTATATGGCAAAGCGAGCACGGGAGGTTCTTGGGAGTCAAGCTAAAGAGGTTCTTGAGTTTGTGCACTTGCCTCGGGAGGCTGCGGAGGAGTCGATGGCGGAACTTGAGGAGACTCGTGCGGCCCAAGAGCTTGCTGATTTGGAGCGAGGAGAGGGACGGACTGTGGAGTATTCTACCATTACGAAAATCACTCAACAAGTGCCTGTAAACCCTGCAGGAGAAATGGCTAATTCGAGGAAATATGATTTGATTGTGGCTACTCACCAGCTGTACCGAGGCGATGCGCGGTTCCCAGACTCTGTGGACGAGCGAACAGAGCAGTTGCTTGGTCTTCTTGCTCCTGGGGGTGCTCTTGTGTTTGTGGAACGTGGTGATCCTCATGGAGCAGAGGCAGTAGCTCGAGCTCGTCAAGTTATGTTTCGTCCTGAGAATTATGATGTTGAGGTTGGGAAGCCAGCGGCACGGCCATGGAAGGGAGGTAAACGATTACGGCCTGTGGATGCTACTACGGAGGAGCGTGAACTAAGTTCTGAGGAGATTTCAGAGCTTGATCTTCCACCAGAGCTTTTGGCTGAGTACGATGTTGTTGAAGAGTCGAGTGGGTCTTCTTCTTCTTCTTCTTCTACTGGTTCGTATAACCTACAAGTGCTTGCGCCATGCACCCACCTTAACAAGTGTCCGTTGCAAATTGGGATCCAGGCCCGGACACGCGACACGTCTGCGAAATTCAACTGGTGTCGGTTTGGACAAATTGTACAGCGGCCCAAGTTTTCTCAGGAACTTAAGAAGGGAGTTTTCCTTGCTGCGAAATGGGCTGGTAAGGCTACAGGACGAGCAAAGGATGGTCGTGGGTTAGCCGGCAGTGGTCGGCCACATGCACGGTCATACGAAACTGCTGTGTTTAGTTATTTATCTGTGATGCGAGAGCCTGAAGAGGCTGGGATAACAAGAGGAGAGCCCGAAAGCCGGATCATGCGTGCACCGCAGAAGCGGGACGGGCACGTGGTGATGCACGTGTGCTCGGAACGCGGAGCGATGGAAGAATGGATAGTGCCACGGTCGTTTGGCAAGCAAGCGTACCATGATGCACGCAAAGCATCTGGAGGTGACTTATGGGTGCTTGGGGCCAAAACGCGGGTCGTCAAGGCTGGGGCTCAAGAAAAGTTAGAGCAATTTTTATCAGGCAAGACCAAGTCAGAGGAAGAGGAAGGTGAAGGGGAAGGTGAAGAAGAAGGTAAAGGAGAAGGAGAAGAGGAGACATTTGCTTATGATGAAGCATGGACTTCTAGAAAAGATAAACGTAAAGCTGCAAGGGCTCGCGTGCGTGAGGAAAGACGAGCAGAGCGTGAGCTACGAGGAGAATTGGGAGGCCATAAAGCATTTGCCAGTCGTGATGATGGAGCAGTTTTCCGTGGTCATGATCCTCTTCCTGAGCATTTGGCTGAGCACTACGGGGTTGAAGATACTGGACCGTTTGGAGGAGATGGTCGACGATGAGGATTGATTGATTGATTGATATCAAGATTTGTAAATAATATTTATCAAAAGTAAAAAAATAATAAAAATATATATAAAAAAAAAAGTACCGCAAGGAGTTTCCTGGTGGTGGTTAATGAAGGAGGGTTTTTTTTTTATTTTTTTATTTTTTAGAGTGGGACTTTGAATATATGAGAGATAAGCGTTATGTTGTAGATATGAAAATGAATTTTTTATTTTATTTTATTTTATATATATGTCCGTATGACCAACCCTTTTTTTTTTAATCTTGAACCATCAACAACAACAACAATAACAACAATTTTTTTTTTTTTGACTATTCTCTCTTTATTTTTTCTTTCTTTCTTTTTTAAACTATGCCTAGTTATAGTACTTTTGATGATGACGATCTGGTTCCTCTAGTTAGATCAACTTCCGGAGCAGGAATCACATCTGAGACTCAGCTTGCTGATCTTGGATATGCACAAGAACTTCCTCGGCGGTTATCCATGATGTCAATTTTGGGCTTAAGCTTTGCAATCATGGTAAGCAAATTTTTTTTTAATTGTTTTTTTAATTTTTTTTTTTTAATTTTTATTTGAAGTTTACATCTATAGTAAAGGAATAAAATGATTTTGAAAATTAAAAACTAACATCAATAGGGAGTACCTACAGGCTTAAGTTCAACTATGGCCATTGGTCTAACAGACGGACAGCACGCAGGAATCTTTTGGGGATGGGTTGGAGTATCGCTTGTATCTGTTTGTATTGCAGCATCTTTAGCAGAGATTTGTGAGTTTTTTATTTTTTTTATTTATTTGAAAAAATCCTTCCTTTCTTCCCAAAATCAATTTTTACAACATTTTAACTCATTTTTAGGCTCTGTCTTCCCCACTTCTGGTGGTGTATACTATGTAAGTTATTTGTTGGGTTCTTATTTTTTTTATTTTTTATTTTTTATTTTTTATTTTTATTTTTTATTTTATTCCTTCAAACCCCTCATCATTCTTTGCTAACTCTTGCCAAAAGTGGTCTGCAATGTTGGCCCCCCACAAATGGGCCCCACTTGCCTCGTGGACTGCTGGCTGGCTTACACTTGTAGGGAACTGGACCGTAACAACTTCCATTTGTTTTTCCGGTGCTCAACTTCTCTTATCATCCGGGTCTTTATTTTTCCCTGACTGGGAGCCCAGTGCATTAGCCACGGTATTGGCCTTTTGGGGGGTTTTGGGTGCTTGTGCACTTGCTAATGCTCTTTTGGCTAACCATCATTTGGCTGCATTAAACACTGTTTGCATTTATTGGACTGCCACAACAGTCGTAGTGGTCGGAGCTTGCTTACTAGCTTGGGCTCCTGAAGTTAATGCTCCTAAGGTTATTTTTACTCACTTTGACTCTAGCTTATCAGGATGGCCCGCACCAATCGGGCTTCTTGTGGGCTCGTTACAAGCTGCTTATACTTTAACTGGATATGGTATGGTAGCATCAATGTGTGAAGAAGTACAATCTCCTGAACGGGAAGTTCCCAAGGGCATGATTTTATCTGTAGTTGCTGCTGGACTTACTGGAGTTATTTTTTTAATTCCAGTGTTGGCTGTTTTGCCCACTGACCGGATTGCGCAATTACTTGCAGCAAATGACATGCCTGTGACGCCCATGTTTTTGATGGTCACTGGGTCGCCAGTTCGTGCACAAATGCTTTTGGGACTTTTACAAGGAACCATTGTATTTGCTGGAGTTGGGTCTTTGACAGCGGCATCTCGTGGAACATATGCATTTGCTCGTGATGGAGCAATTCCTGGGTCTCATAGATGGGCTCGAGTTTATGATGGTGTTCCAGTTGGCGGGTTGTTTTTGTCTACGGCTGTGTGTGCTAGTCTTGGGTTAGTTTATTTTGGGTCTCGAGCTGCGTTTGATGCATTTATGGGATCTGCTACCATTTGTCTTTCAGCTTCTTATGGGTTACCTGTTGCCATTTCACTTTTCCGGTCTCGTCATGCGTTAGCTCATGCTCCGTTGAAACTTGGAAGATTTTGGGGGCCTTTGGCTAATTGGGTGACTATTTGTTGGATATGTCTTGCCATGGTACTTTTTAGTATGCCTGTAAGTGTACCAGTGACTGCGGGCACTATGAATTATGCGAGTGCCGTGTTTGGAGGGTTTTTCGCGATTGCAGCTGGATGGTATGTTGCATGGGGTCGGACTCATTTCCATGGACCTCCTGAACTTGTTGAGCATTATGTTAAGAGTGGAATGGGTAAACCAGAAGTAGTAGAAGGGTTGGAAGTTTCAGTTACAAGTGGGATACTAAGTACATCACCATCACCATCGTCATCATCATCATTATTGAGAAAGTAGTTTTTTTTTTTTTTTAGAGTTTAGATGTAACACCAAGCATGTAGCCGAGTTTCTAAATTGATTATAAAAAGGGATTTTAAAGGTACAAGTTAAATAAGTTTATTAGGGGGGTGGTGGTGAGAATTAAAAAAAAACTAGTATTTTCAAATATATTTTCATATTTTCATATTTTCCTATTTTATTTATTTATTTATTTAAGCTGCACTGCATTAAGCGAAAGTTTTTTAGGCTTTTTGTACTTTTTTTTTTTTTTTTAAAGGAGGAGTAGTTTAAAAAAATGATTTGATAGATGTTAATTATCAAATTTTTATAATAATAATAATAATAATAATAATAATAATAATAATTAGTTATAATTGTAATTGTATTATGTAATAATTTAATAATAATTATATTTTCAACATTTTGACAGCTCAAAACTGGCTTCCGCCCTTAACAGAATTTTATGAAATAAATAAAAATTAAAAATTAAAAATAAAAATTAAAAAATAAAAATATCCACAACTTTGATAGTTTTCAGATATAATTTTTTTTTATTCTTTATTTAATTATTTTTGGGAAAAATAGTAAAGAAGAAGAAGAAGAATAATAATAATAATAATAATAAAGAAGAAGAAGAAGAAGATAATGAAAAGAAGAAGGAAAAATGTTTAGAACACGCATCCACAGTATTTTGTTCTTTCGGTACTATATAAATCTTTTTTTTTTTTTTTACAGTTATATTTATAATATATTAATATATGGATTATTATTTTAAATTTTTTTTTGAGTGGTTTTTCAAAATCTTTTAAAACTAAATTTCTTAAAATGATTTAAAAAAGAAAAAAAAAAAACTCCCCCGATAGATGCAGAATAAAAATAAAAATAAGAAGAAGAAGAAGAAGAAGAAGAAGATGAAGATGATGAGAATATAATGAAAATAATGATAACGATATTACCTGGTTTGGACTGCTGCAATGGACATAATTCTTTTGATTTCCCACATAGGCTATAATAGTAATAATTATAATGGTAAATAATAGTAATAGAAAAAAAAAATAATAATAACAATCTTTTAATACCATCATAATCATAATCTTCTTTCTTCATTATTATTATTATATTGTGGATATATATATATATTTTAGAATTATTTATTTTTATTTTGACGTCTGCAGAAAAAAAAAAATAAAAAAATTAAAAAAATTAAAAAAATAAAATATATATGTCTGCTTTATACACACACACATATATTTTCTAAACAAAAATATAAAAACCTCGAAATAACCCAGCTTTTTTATAATTTTTTTTTTTTTATAAATTTCTATTTTCAAAAAAAAAAAATTCATTTTTATTCCTTTACTATATATATATAAATAAAATTTTTAATCTTTTTTCTTCTTCTTTTCCAATATATCATCATCATCATCATCATCATCATCATGTCAAATTATATTCTTCCAAGGTCACAATTTAACTCCTTACCTTCCCCTCCACAATCTTGTCATCCTGACTTTTTTGGTCCATCCACTTCATCTTCAGACTCTCAGTCTTTAACTTCTTCATCTTCTCACAAATCTCATAGAAAATCCCGTTCAAATGTTCAGGGAACTTCTTCAAACTCTTCTTCAAATTCTTCTTCAAATTCTTCTTCCTCCTCTAATCACCACCAGAAACCTTCACATATGCCATCAACTTCTTCTCTTCATTCTTCCTGGTCTCTGGCATCTTCCTCATCCTCCGTGCGTCCGTCCCGCCATGCGCGCACTCATTCATCCATCGCAGGTTCTCACAATCATTCACATAATTCACAACATTCATCATCATTATCATCTTCTACTTCATCTTCTTCATTATCTTCATCATCCAGAACAAACAAACAACTATCAATATTTGCTCCGGATGCCCTTATAAATAACTCTCCACCAACATTCCAAGATGTTTCTTCCCCCTCAACCCATAATCAATATCAACATCAACGTCAACATCAACATCATAAAAGAACATCCTCCTCAGTCTCAAGACATAGTCATAAACTTCCACCAACCCCTGCAGCTTCGCCTGACGCTAATTTGCACTATTTCCCCGAGCCGCACGTCAACACGGCCACTAATTCTCCTATACTGCATCATCATCACCACCAGCATAACCACACTGCATCAACTTTAACATCACCATCATCAACTTTATCATCATCATCACCATCACCATCTTACACACACTCAAGATCAGCTTCATCTGGGGTACGTGCAATTTCTGCAAGTATCGTTCGTGGTGCTGATCCTAAAATCCTACCACCAGGACTTAAGTCTGATTACTCCTTGACCTCTGCACGAGGTTCTACTGGCCCCCCTAAATCACACCACTTTTATGCATCCTCATCTTCATCCTCTTCCTCCTCTTCATACACCCATAAAAACCCCAGCTGTCTTGAAACTCCCCTCTCCCCAACTCTAGCTATGAGTTTACGAACCCCAACTGTCTATGATGATCATCCACGCAGAATTTCAGTCTCAACTTCAAGTGCAGCCGCCACTGCTCGAAAACACTCTGCTCCTTCTCCTTCATCTACCTATGCCTTCCAAGACCATGCAACTGTTTCTCTTTCCTCTCCTGTTTCTCCCCCTCTCCCTGATTCTTCTTCTTCTTCTTCTTCTTCTACACAACCTTCCTCCTCCTCCTCTTTAGGCCCCACCCCACCAACCCTGGACCCAGCCTTGCTAGCCCAAATCTCAATGTCTAATCCGGCTTTCGCCTCCATCCCTCAAGACCAACAGCGCCTGCTTTTCGGTCTTTATCTTCAGGGCCTTTACGGTGACTTTACTGGCTGGCGCAATGTTCCTGTGCGCCACTGGCATGAGCATTTTGTCCGCCACCGCGTCGAGGCAATTGCGTTGAACGCAGAAAGCGCATGGCGTCAAAATAGGGGGCTGAGCCCCGCTGTTGCTCTGGAGCGTTTCAAGGTTCTCGTGGCTTCGTACCTTTAAAGACGCTATAATTTTTTTTTATCCCGATATTTATTTATATCCTGTGGATATAAATGTCGTCATTGTCATGATCGTTTTATTTGAGGGTGGTGAAAATTTCTCTCACTCTCTCTCTTTTTATGTATAACTGGTTTTTTTTTAATGAATTTAATGACTTTATGAAAATAATAAAAATGAAATAAATAAAATAAAATAAAATATAAATATAAATTTTTTTTTTAAAAGTATACAAAAAAAAAAAATCTCTAGTAACTTACATATATATATGAATTACTTGCTGTCTAATTCTCGCCAGTCAAAGTTGGAATAAACAACCGCAGAAAAGGCATTCAAGTCCGGAACATTGGCCATAGCGGTCACATACTCACTAGGTTCTAAAGGTGTTCCGGCCCCAACCCCATGAGCTTGTTTAGAAATGTTGGCCAAAATACTTGCCAGTTTAACAGTTGCCGGTGAGATTTCTTTTCTATTTTCTTCTTTTTCATCTTCATCATTCTCCTTTTCTTCCTCTTCTTTCTCTTCCAATTTCTTTTCTTCTTCTTCATCTTCTTCTTTAACTTCTTCAACTGGGTATAACTGTGAAATCTTGCTCACTGATATAGAAAGTCCTGTATGAACCAATCGTTTAATCACCTCACCAGCATTTGGTGACTCAACCAAATCTGCAGTTTCATCCAACAATTCACGCAACCCAGGCGCAAGTTCTTCCGTTTCAGCACTTGGATCTTGTTGAGCTTGTGCCAACACATAAGTTTCTAATTCTTCTGGGGGTATCAAGTTATGCAAAAAGCTAGTTATAATAATGAGAAAAAAAAAAAAAAAAAAAAAAAAATATTTCGTTAGTATTAATAATCGCAAATTTATCAAAAACCGTTCTTGACCTTAATTACTTACTTTTGAGCTACCGTAGAATCAAACGGATAATCAATCAAATACTGCACTTGGCCAATAAGTTCCGAAAGCTTTTCCAGCGTTAAGTCGGCACGCGGATTGATTCTAACAAAAAAAAAAAAAAAAAAAAAAAAAAAAAAAAAAGAAATCATTAATCCTTTGTGTTCGTAAAGAATTTTAATCGTTTTATACTTACGGTCCGAATACCCGCTCAACGGCAGTCGTCACTTGCTCCTTTAGTACTAGCCAGCCTCGGTTTAGAAGCCACCAGGAAAACATGAGGTAAAGTCTGTTTGTTGCAGCCTCTCTTTCTGCTCTTTCATCTGCATCTTCTTCAACTTCTCCATCGCTGCTACTCTCACCAGATCCTCCTGTGGGTCTCCGTGAGTCTGCAAGTTCAATCACAGAAACAACATAGTTCTTTCTTCCGAGAATATTAAGCTGCACACGAGTCAAGAAAACAAGAAGGGCCGTAGAATAGATTAACGTAAACAATCGCGCAATTGCTAAAAGAACAAAAAAAAAAAAAAAAAAAAAAAGTAAAAGGTTAATTTCGGTTGTGTCCGATAATGAGTCTGTTTAAAAAGAGGGTTCCCACTCCCCTCTTTCTTTTCTTCTTCTTCTTTTTTTTCTTCCCCTCCACAATCACCCCCCACATACCTTCAATCTTAAGTTCCTGCCACAGTTGCGATTTCGATGCTCGTGGACGAGTTTCTACAAGTACCGCAGATGCTTCTCCTTCCACTGTAGTTGTTGTTGGGGCCATAGCACCGGCCACACTTTCGGATCCAGTTTCTGAAGGGGCTCCCTCTGCTGATACTACTGACCGACTTGCTGCCGAGCGTTTTTGTTGCAGTTGTTGAGTGATACTTTCAACTGGATATGCGTCAATAATGTCTGCGGATAATCCTGGTAATAACGCCATGATTGTGAATGTTGCATCCTCTTGGTTCTGATCAAATCTTCGTCTCAAACTATGAATTGAGTTAGAAAAACGAGCCATAAAAAAATAAAAAAAAAAAATAATAATAATTAATCATAAATATAAACAAAGTATTGAAACTACATTAAAAGACTTACTTTTCTTTAGCAGTACGCTCACTGGCAAGTCGATCTTGAAGCTCAAAAAACTTATTCTTAAGATAATCAATGGCCAAGTAACCTGAAGCCACGATGCCGGCCGAGACAAGCAGTTTGCGGCGGTGGCGCTTAAGAAACGTGCCGACTGAGGACACAATAGTCATTTTACTGGAGCGATTGATAAGATTCAAGTTGAGTATATGAATTATACAGTAATTAAATAGTCACAGAAGGTTTATATAAGGTTGATGATATAAAAAAAAAAGGGTAAATCAAAAAATCAAAAAAAGAAGACGAAGAAGAAGAAACAAAAGTGAGGGGGAAAAAAAAAAAAAAAAAAGAGGGAGGTGGGATTCTTTTTCTTTAAAAAAAAAAAAAGTTTTGGTGGAGAAGCACAGAAAAAAAAAATCCATGAAATCAGTAGGAAAATGATAAAGTGCACGTGACCAAATACAAGCCGAGGTTTAAAATCACATGATGAGACAAACTGCTAGGCTAACGTACCGTCGTCACCGGGACTCGAGTATGATTGGCAGAGTGTATAACTTTTTTGGTTTTTTTTTTTTAATTTATTTTTTCTTGCTAGCAATAGACTGTGACATTTGCTTTAAAAACTCAGTAGCTTGTGCATCTGAATTGTTTTTGTTTGTTGTTGCACCACTACTTCCGGTACCCAGTGAGTGCTTGACAAACCGCGCAGCTGCTTCCTTATCTATCCGTGGTCGGGAAGGCTCTGTAGATGGAATTGATGAAGTTGATAATCCTTCTCCTGGCTTATTTTTGGCTGCTGCCAGGCGTGTCATTGTGGCCTTGACGCGTTGAAGTTCTGTGCTAATTGGGTGGTTCTTTGGGTCGGCACCTATAGATTTCAAGTATGCTTAACAATGTGTTAGAACAAATACAAGTAGATAAAATATACTATAAAGTAAAGTAAAGTAGAGTAAAAAAAAAAAGATGACTTACCAAAAATAACTGCGTCTAAGGCATATGTGATAGCAGCATAATGGTTTGCTTGGTCTAATGGTGATAGGTCTTCAACGTCTTCTGTGAGTAAATCTTCCAAGAGAGGTTTAAGGGCGTCGACTTGAGTGCCGAGTCCGTCAACAATTTTCTGTACTTGAGGGACTGATTCCATTGTAAGTATTTAAAAAAAATTGAATATTTTTGAAGGATTTTTTTTTTATTTTTATTTTTTAATAAAAATCAAAAAAAAAAAAAAATTAAAATAAAAAATTGAGATTTGATTTTTTAATTTTTAATTTTTTTGACAAGCCAAAATTTTTTCGTTTCTCTTTTAGGAAATTATTTTTTAATGAGGCTCAACCCTAGCCCTCAACATGGCTCAGTATGGTTGTCTATCATTCTATTTTTGTACTTATGCCTCAACTGTCAGCCGTATCTGGAGCAGATAAACAAAAACTATAGGCTCGACTTATCATCAACGTGCCAAAAAAAAAAAAAAAAAAAATTCATTTTATGAAAATTTCAAAAAAAATAAAATCAAAAAAAAAAAAAATTGCATTAAAAAGATTTAACTAATTGAATCAAAAATCTCATTCAATATATATATATAACATCATAAATATACACAATTTCTCTCTTTTCTATATATATATATCTAGATCTAATGTCAACTTAGCTCCAGAGATGCCTCAGGTTAAGGTTGGCGCGTGGCACGCACCTTAAAATGTTTTTGGTACCAAAAAAACATGCAGAAAAAAAAAATTCCAAAATTTTTTTTTTTTTTATAATTTTTTAATTTTTTTTTTTTTTAACACTCAAAAATTTTTTTTTTTTTTTCTTTCACCACCACCAAAAACCCACTTTTATTGCCATCATCATATACTTTCCTTCCTATTTACCTATCCCCTCCAAATAAAAAAAAATAAATTTATATATACTATACCTGCTATTATTTATTTATTTATTTATTCCAGTTAAATAATAAACCTCTTTAAAAGTCTTGTCAAGTTGCAAATTTAATCTGAACTTTTTTTCCCTCCTCACTCTTCTTTATCAAAATGTCGCCAGCAACTAGTCAAGCCGGCGACGCTCCGCCTCTTGTAAAGGACCCCGTGGACCCATCTCCACCCTCTCAAGACGATGACTTAATTAACCCTTTAGGTATGATCCTTTTTCATTTTATTTTTTTATTTTATTTTATTTTATTTAATTTTATTTTATTTTTTATTTTATTTCATTTCATTTTATTTTTCATTATAAAAAAACGATAATTCTAACTCAAATATCTTATAATATTTCCCTTTTTTTTTGTTTTTTTTTAGGCCCTGCAAAAATAAAATCTGTTCAAGATGAACTTGCTGCTGATTATAAACTTCTCATGTCTTTATACGCCTCTGCTCATGTCTCGAGAACTACACTAGTTTTAAATTCACTTAAACGTGACTCAACTCCAGCATCTCTTTCTGCAGCAGCTTCCGCAGCAGGTGCCAGTCCAGATATTATGGCTCAATATGATTCGGTCCACGCTTCGCGTGTCGCATATCTAGACGCCATGCGCAAGTACCGTATAGATATGATTTCGAAAACTACACGAGGAGAACGCTCAAATATTTGGGTCCGCTTTCACGACGCTATGGCCCGTCTCCGTCAGTCCATGATTGATAAAACTAACCGCCAAATCTCCGCCATTAACTATGAATATTCGCGTGCCAATTTAACAACACTCTCCTACTCCTATGACAAGGATAAGTCGGGGAAAATCTACCACAATACAGACTACCCCCATAATAAAGGCTCTTCCTTTGTTTGCTCACAAGAAGCCCGCATCACAGCAATGCAACACATTGCTGCAAACATTTTGAAAACTCCAGTCCCGGCAAGTCTCACCGAAGAACAAGCCGACCAGGATATCGCAAGTCTTCGCATTCTCACAGGGAAAATTGTTGAATTTAATGATGAAGAAGGAGAAGATGATGATAATATTATTATTAATAACAATAATAATCATAGCAATAATATTAATATTAATAATAATAGTAATAATAACTTGCTCCCACAGTTAGTAGAGGCTACTCTAGCATCAAAAGATTCAAGTAGTGATGATGATGAAGAAGATGCTGATGAACTTTCTGAAAATGAAAATGTTGATACCTCTCGCATACCCCTTGAAGATGTTGCACCCGTCTCTTCTTCTTCTCCACCATCACAACTACCTCCACAACCACCTCCACAACCACCATCGATTCCTCCATTCCCTAAAAAGCAAGTGCGCACTCGCGGCAAATCCCGTCGCAATAAGTCGGTAGAACCTCTTTCTGCTCCTTCTTCTCCTCCTAGGGGGACTAAACGCTCTGCAGAACCACTTTCAGATACCCCAATGATTGTTCAAATCCAACACCATGATAATTTGGTTTCTCAGGAACAAAAATCACAATCTCAGTCTTCCCAAGCTTCAAACATTTCTCATCAGCCACCCCCAACTAAACAATTATCATCTCCTATTCCTTCTCCATTGGTGGTACCAGTATCTGTCCCGGTTGCTGCTCCCATACCTCCTCTGACTGCCGCTCTTCCAGCCGCTACTCCTTCTACTGCCCCTACTGCTCCTTCCACTCAAAATGCTACTGCTTCTACTACTGCTCCTCCTCCACAAAAGAAAACTCGTCGTGGCCGTATTCCCAAATCTCAAAAAGTTTACAGCTCAACCGTGCCATTACCACCAGTCCCAGGACAAAACATTCATACAATTGCCTCTAGCAGAGACTTGGTTAGTGCCATGGCTGACCGTGACGAAAACAAGGCGCGGGTCGCAAAACAAGTTGCATCTGCAGCTGCAGCTGCCGCCGCATCAACCCCAGCTATTATTCATCGCAACGGGTCAAATCAAGTACCCATAACACAACAACAACAACAGCAACAGCAGCAACAGCAGCAACAACACCCTCAAGTACATCTTCCTCCAATTTCCCCAGGAAGACTTTCTCCTAAATACCCATATGCTCAGCAGCCACCACCTCATCATCAATCTCTTCCACATTTAAATTTTGCTGGCCGACCGCGGTCCCCAGGACCTATGGAGAATCAACAACCACTGTCGCCATATAGACGACGCGAAGACACTGAATGGGAACGTACTGATCGTGACCGCCGCAGCGTGTTTGACCCTGTGCGCAATACCTCTACAACGGCTCTTCCTTCCTTTCACAGTTCATCGTCAGCACCAAGCCCAGCACTTCCAATGCCGCTTAATCTTCAGAAACAATCTTCATCTCCGTCGTATAATCATAGACACCTTCATCCACCACCGCAGCAACAACACACGCAGCCATCACCTTTGTTGCATCATCAACATGCCCCACAAATTCCCCAGCATCCACATCAACAACAACAATCATATCATGGATACCCAGGCCAGCAGCAGCAGCAGCCTTCACATGGAATGTCATCTGGGTTGGGTCCACTACAACCCCCATCAGGGCCTCACTATCTCACACAGCCATATCCCACCCCTTCGAACTCATCTTCATCTTCATCATCTGCTGGTGGTGGGGGTAACGGTCCATCTGCATCATCTTCCTCATCTTCTTCAGGTTACCGGTACCCGCGTAGCTCAATTCCTCCACCACAACAGTCACCTCGGGCACAACATACTGCATCATCACCTCCATACTACTCATCACCAAATCAACCCCCACCGTTGCAGCTCCCCCCACCACCTCAACACTCTCACCCACATATGTCATATGGAGGATACCCGCCGCCAGGACACATGCCACCACCGCCGCCGCCACCAATGGGTGCTACAGGAAGCAATTCTGGAGGTAACGGGAATGGTAGTGGTGGCAGTCCAAGGGGGGGAGGCAGTTATGGCAGTTTACCCAAGGGGTATGGTGGCCCGTCAGTATCGCCGCCTATGGTTTCTTCAGGTCACCCATACTATTATGGCCAACAAGGTGCCGCTACCACATCCACCGGGCCTGGACATGCTGCAGGTGCTCCATACCATGGTGGACCACCTCCACCACCTGTAGTTGGAGCTGGTGGTGCTCCAGGATATTCGCCGCCAATGAGTCATGCTACAGGTCCTGGGAATCGGTATGCAGGACTGCCGCCGCCACCGCCGCAAAGTCTTAGCGGTCCCCCTGGGCCTCCCCAACATCATTATGGACACCCGGGAGGATACGGTCCGCCACAACCACCAGGCTTACCTAGACCCCCTGGATACCCCCCGTACCATCATCAGTACGATTAAAACATTTGTGAATACTATAATTAATCTACAATGCATATTTTTGTTCGGTTACATACGTTTTTTTTATATATATTTTTTTTTAGAATTGACTTTGTTTAATGACATAAGTACCTATAATTGGATACGAAAAGCATTTGAAAAATAATAAAGAAAAAGACAAATAGAATTAAGATTTTCTTGATTGTTTGAACCAAGGTAGAGTGGCAGTTTTAAATAAGGAGGGGAGTGGGAGGAAAAAAAAAGGAATATATGCATGTAAATGTTAATGTAAAACAGGATTGTTGATATTAAGGGTTAAAAGAATTTCTCATGATGAATTGAAGAAGAAAGAATTGGCTAAAACAAAAAAAAAAAATGAGAGTAAAGTACATTTGTACAAGATTTAATTGATGAGAGATGATAATAATGACCTGATTTAAAAAAAAAAAAAAAAGATAATATTATAAAAGATACTGCAAAGATCAAACAGATTCAAAAGATAATTGTTGTTTGCTGGATAGAATTTAAGCTTTTGTGGAGTTTTAGATAGGGGTAAAGAGAGAGTGTTTGAGTGAGTAAGTAACTGATTGGTACCAGAAGTGGCTCGTAAAGAAGTTGAGGGAAAAAAAAAAAACAAAGAGACGTTTAGCCAAAGAAAAGATGGGGAGGGGCAATAAGGTGGGGGGGGTCAATGGATAGCATAGAGAATAATTATTCTCTATGCTATCTTATAAGTTAATCATGCTGAAATGTATTAGAAGGAGGGGCTAATGATAATCTTTTTTTTTTTTTTTTTGGTATTTTAGTGTTTAATATTTTTATTTTTTTAGTATTGCCATTATTTTTATTCAAAAAAATTTTACTTACTTTTGACAAAATTGTTTCTGAAGACTGTTTTTATTGCCATATATTTGGTCAAAAAAAAAAGGGCATTTCATCATTCCTTGGCTTATGTTTTATTTATTTCTTTTGTTTGTTTAGATATTTTATTTTCCTTCTTGTTAAAAAAGAAAATCCTAAAATGTACCAAAAGCTTGTTAAATAAAAAAAATAAAAAAAATAAAAAAAATAAGAAAAATAAGAAGAAGAATAAAAGGTTACTGTTGCTTTCTTTGGGTGTCTGCACAGAAAGTAAACTTGCGCTAAGTGTTTTTGTGTATTCTTTTTTTATTTTTTATTTTTTCTATTTTTTCTATTATAATTTCCATACATTTAATTTTTTTAAAACAAAAGAGATTTTCACAAATATAATTTTTTTTTCTTCATCAATTAATATTGATAGCAATAATATTGCTGTATTTTCAACTTAATATCTACAATTAATGTTCAAATGCAAATGCAAATGCAAATGCAAAAGAAAAAGAAAAAGAAAAAATAACAATCTTCTACACTTTTTGTTTCTTATTCTTCTTTTCCTGCAAATTCAACAAGTTGCAGAATTTCTCTTTTGTTTAAATCCAATCTTTTGTATAAATATGCTAAAGCATTATATCTTTCTTTTCTTTCAAAAATAAGCCTTTAGCATATAAAAAGTATGCAATAATAAATTTGTACATAGAAAGCCCACTAAAACTCTCCCCTCCCCCTCCCCTTCTTTCCCCCATGTTTTTATTTGATTGCTCTTTCTATCTTTAAGTTTTTCTCTCTCTTATGTTTTTTTTCTTTACTATCTTATGAATCGCTATCTGATATCGATCCAAGTCTTTCTTATTTTTTTTTTTTTTGATCCTGAAATCGAATTCTTTTAGTTTCTCTATTTCCCCTTAATTATTAATTCTATCTTTTTCTTTTCCCCCAATAAAAATAAGAGTTACAGTTTCCTCTCTTTTTTTTCTCGCATAATATTGGTTTCTCTTTTTTTTTCACTTCTTCGGAACTTTTTTTTTAAAAAACAATTTTTTTTTTCTTTAAGATATCCATGCAGATAACCAACAATGAAAAAAAAAAAAATATTAAATGTAAAGTGGTCATATCATAAATTTGTCTGACCATTAACTGCGACTTTGTATCACCATCTGCACATATATTTTGTTATTTCTTTTTTTTTATTTTATTATTTTCTTCCCCCTCAAAAAATTATATTAAAAAAACGTGGATTTGTTTAATGTGTATACATAATAAGTTAACTAAATTATGTATAAAGCGTATATTTTATTTTTTCTTTTATGTATATTTTCAGTTCAATTTATACAAAAAAAACAAAAGCAAAAATAAAAATAAAAATAAAAATAAAAAGGCATTTTTTGCATTTCTTTTCATCATATATATGTATAGTGCCCTTTATTTTATTCTCTTATTTTCCCCTTGAAAAAAACCTATATATATATAAAAAAGCCGAAGTTGGTTTCAACTTGGACAAATAACCTGACATTATCAAATGGTCGCACTTTAGAGTCACTTTGGATATGCGGGCGCTTATATTGATATTAAGCAAGATTTGTCGATCAATCTGGTAATTAGTGTAATATTTTTTTATTAGTCCTTCTTATTATCTTATTACTGTTTTTTTATTAATATACTGTCGCACATATGCACCCGTGTTTTTTTTTTTCTTTCATTCTTTCATTCCTTCTTAAATTCAAATTCAAGTTTCAAAATTTAAAATTTAAAATTTAAAAGTGAAATTCAAGTTGCTATTTGTTTTTATATGAAAAAGCCTCATTAATCTGTGTTGTCACATTTGCTTTTTTTTCTTCTTCTTCTTCTTCTTCTTCTTCTTCTTCTTCTTCTTCTTCTTCTTCTTCTTCTTCTTCTTCTTCTTCTTCTTCTTCTTGTATGATTTCTATTTCTTTCATAGTCTCAAATCAACAAGATCTTGTGGGTCTAAACCTAAGTTATGAGACCCGAAATAATAACAGTTGCTGATAAATTTGCACAATCCGTAACAATAAACAGGTCTCAGTTAGTTGTTGAACGTCAATATGATAAACCGAAGACTGTTATTCCGAGTTAATAACAGTAATAATAAAAATAATAAAAAAAGGTTTTTTTATAAAGGTTCCGAAGGTTTCGAGTATTACTTAGGGCAAGAAATCCAAGCAAGCAAGCAAGCAAGCAAGCATACATTTGTGAGCCAAACATGAACGTTATTTGTTGGCAAATTGCGCTCCTCAACTAGAATAAGTCACCATAACTCGATGTTATAGGTGAGACCTGTTGCTCAGTTGCATGAATACAGAACGGTCGCACATTTAAAAGTTCTCATAACTCTTTTCGTGAAGGTTTGGTACCCTAACTAAGCCGTTCACGATGGGGGTTAGGATTCCGAAATATACTTTGCAAACAGTGAAGGAGTATCTTTGGAGAAGAAATATTTATCTTCCAGTTTTTATTAATATTATCTAGTAACACTTTTAAGTCCTGTCCATTGACTTACTCTTCAATCTTACAGGCAGTTCATAGATAGTTTTACAAAACTCAATATTGATTCATAAGGTACTGTGACATTGACAGGTAATACTGAACTTTTTATGATCTCCCCTAAGCTCATCCCTTCTGTCAATATTGTGACATCTATCTCAGTCCAGGTACGTAATATTATCTCTTTATCCATAACTTCAATATATCCATTTCCAAACTCAGAATCTGTAAATATTAGTGAGTCTTTTTGGTTACTTTTTGTTTTACATGTAGGCGCAGGTGTTTAAAGCCCATGAGTGAATTATGCATGAAAGTGAAAATTATCTTATAGAGCTTTGGGTATATGATTGTGAAAAAAAAAAGATATTAATCAAGTATTTGTCATTATTGAAGATATCAAAATTCGTCATAAAGAATGGGGAGTTAGCTAACCTTGGGTATTACTTTTTAAAAACTGGGGCGACAATTTTTACTTAACTGTTTTTGGAAAGCAAAAAAAAGTCGCTTCATGTTTAAGATATACTTTTAAGCATTATAAATTAAAATTCAAATAAAAAAAAAAAAAGGGTAATTGGGGGTTTTCTTTATTTCGGATTTATTTTTATCATATCACATTCTATTATTTTGTTTAAACTCGGTTTCGTTTAATAGTATAAACTGTTTCTTAATCTGGTCAGATAAAGAAATCAACAGATGTTTTTTTTAAAAAAAAAAAAAAAAAAGAAAGAAAAGAGCTTAATCAAATCTCAATCATGAAAACACTCAGATCTGCCCAACCTATCTTTCCAATGATTTTGTTTTTCTTTTCATTTTAACCAAAGAACTTTAAACATTTGGAAATATTATGTCATTTTTTTTTGTTTTCTCTAAAATCTTTGCACGTTTTCATAAAAATCAGATGTTGAAAAAAAAAAATTAAATGTATTAAATAAATTGCTCTCTTGTGAATTGTCTTGTTTTCATTTTTTTTCACAAAAATATGGTGTCATGACTTATTAATCAACATTAAAAGAAATAATGATAATAAATTTGATGACTTCTGGAATGCTTTATTTTTGTAAAGATTAAATGTCGTCACATTTCGTCTAAAAGAAAAAAAAAAGTTTTAAAATTTGTATATTGTTCCAGTTATCATATAATAGCCTCATGTCCATCTCTCTCGGGTAATAATCACATCTCATTGACCTGTTTTTTTTTTTATCATTTTTATTTATCCATTCAAGTTTTCATTCCAAAGAAATAAATTAATATATATATAGGTAAAAAAAAAAAAAAAAGAAGATCATCCAAAATAAAAAGAACAAGTGAAGGAAAAAAGTTGCCTTTTTTTCTGGTTCATTTTATTCTTCAACATTATCACTGATATGTACTCAAACATTTCCGTATCTTAAAGGGAGGTGAAATATAAAAAGGCTATGAATTAAGTTTATTGTGAAACTAATCAAGACCATTTTTTTTAAAAAAAAATTCTTATTTTCTTAGTTTAGAAACAACTTTCTTCCCCTAAATTTGTTTTTTCTTATTAATTTAAAAACGGTAGATAGATATATTTTAAAAAAAAAACCAAAAAGCATGTTAAGACATTGAGAAACGCTAACAATAGATAATTTCAGCAAAGTTACTTTGAATAATTCACGTGCATATATATATTTAACAAAACA